TAGCTTGGCTTTTAGCCTGAATAAGGCCTTTAAAAGTCAAATCTGAGATTCTGTATGAAAACTTCCAGCAAAGAAACTTGAAAGCACCTATGTGGCCATCTCCTGTTCTTGCTGCACTTACGTAAATAATCCAGCAAAATCTAACAAAACTAGACTTATTTTTAAAACAAGAATAGTCTTACTTTGATTATGATCAAAAATGATGGTTACTACAGAGAGAAATTTTATGTTTCAATGGAAAACTATAACTTGGCCGGACATGGTGGCACATGCCTATAATTCCAGCATTTTGGGAGGCCAGGAGTTCAAGATCAGCCTGGGCAACATGTTGGAAACCCCGTCTCTACCAAAAATATAAAAATTAGATGGGCACGATGATATGTGCCTGTAGCCCCAGGTAATCAGGAGGCTGAGGAGGGAGGATCACTTGCACCAAGGAGATAGAGGTTACAGTGAGCTGAGATTGTTGCACCTTTGCACTCCAGCCTGGGTGACAGAGCCAGACCCTGTCTCAAAAAAAAATTTTTTTTAAAGGAAAGCTCTAGCTATTGTGGGTTATCAGATTCTAGTCTTGTTTATTGTTTTTGGGCTATGTTTACCTCTTTGTAAACTGGATCCTGCAATCTGATGAATTTTGCCCCACAATGATACTTGTGGAATCAGAAGCCAAGTATTGTCTCTCCTACTAATGTATCTATTGTCAGTTAATTTGAAGGTCTCCAACCCTGGAACAAAGTTAGAAGAGGTAGGTCTTGCTCGCCACAATGCATAACCAAACTGTGGTACATTCATGCAATGGAATACTATTTAGCCATAGAAAGGAACAAGCTATCTACTCACACAAAGACGAGTGAATCTTGTATGCACATTGCTAAGTGGAAGAAGACAGTCTGAGGAGAATACACACAGTGTGACCTCATTTAATGAGACACTGCAGAAGGCAAACTACATGGATGGGAAACCATTGGCTCCATGGGGTGGGGGTTTGAAGCATTCCATATGATACTTTAATAGTAGGTACCTGCCACTATGCACTGGTCAAAATACGAAGAATTTTACAACCAAATGGGTAAATCAAACTCTATTCAAATAAAATAAAATTACTCAGGATGTAGAGTATCCCAGGACAGAATACATCATGTGAAAAAGAATTTAGCTATGCTACAAATTACTATGGTTTGGATGTGGTTTGTCCCCGCAAAAACTCGTGTTGATATTTGACCCCCAATGTGGCAGTGTGGGGTGGTGGGGCCCAGTGGAAGGTGTTTGGGTCATGGAGATGGATCCTTCATGAATAGGTTAATGTCCTCCATGGGGGTAAGTGAGTTCTGCTCTCACAGGAATGGATTAATTCCTGCAGGAGTAGGTAGTTAACAAAAGTCTGGGTTCCTTGGCTTCCTGTATCCCACTTTCAAATGTGATGGGTACCTCACCTAAGAAAGGCCCTTGCCATGCTGGTTCCCTCTGCTCACCCAACTGTACTGACTTCTCTTAACCCCCTATGAACACTGTTTTCTAGGTTGGGTGTGTTTTCTGTAATAAAAAGGTATTTTTGCACCACTTATGGAGGACTTTTTGGATGCCATGCTAAGCATTTCATAGTCACGAGCTCATTGTACAAACTACCCTTTAAAACACTCAGATGAATTAATATTCCCATATGAATTGGCCTGAGGAAGTGTGTGCTGGAGAGATTAAGTAATTAAATGACAGCATACAGTTAATTACTGAGGGGATTTGGGTTTGGACCTGTGATCTGTGATTCAAACACTCATGTCTATAACCACAAGTGCTGCCATATCATTTGCATAAGGATTTAGAATCCCTGCTGGCAGGCCTGGGAAGGTGCATTGTAACCAGATAAGAGGTAATTACCACATTTACTGAGTTGTGAGAACCACTGCACTGCCTCTCAGAGAATGCCAGGCGCTCCTGTGTTTGTCTCAGTGTCTCCAGCTTGAATTGCTTCACCCCTGGCTCTCGGCAATGCTGCTTCTCTCTCCTGCATGGATCACCTGTTCCTGGAATTCATTCTCCCATTTCTTAGGCTGCCACTTTACTGTAGCTTCCTGATCTAAGGTAAAGCTTTGATGCTGTGCATGTCCCAAAATGCCTGAGCACTATTCTCACACTGGGTTGACGGTTTCGTTGGGTTTAAAATATATATATTTCTCTCAGAATGTGAAGGCCAAATTTCATTTTCTTATTATATCTAAAATTTCAACGAAAAATTTCAGTGCGATTTTGGTTCTTGATTCTTTGCAGGTGATTTTTCTTTCACCTCTCTGGAAGCTTTTCAGATCTTTATCTCTGATGTTATCAAATTTCACAATAATGTGCTTTAGTGTAGAAGAACTTTGAAATTCATTTTGAAGGGAACTCAATAGATCTTTTAAATCTGAAAATTCATAAACTTTATTTCTGGAAAATGTTCTTGATTTTTGAGTTATAATTCACAT